TGTGTGTGGTGTGGGAGAATTTAGAGAAGGGAGGGTTTAAGGGGGGAGGAAGCCAGTATGCTGTATGTTGAACTTCATTAGTAAGCTCAGTTTAGCCTGTTTTTCTGTGATGCTTAATGAGATTGAAATGGCGAGATGGGAAAATATGATATTACTTTTTTGACTCTAGGAATACTAAATACTTCTTGCTATTTACTGGTGTATTACACTTCTCTATTACGCTTAGTGTGCAAAATCTGTTTTGGGGTATAGCTTTACCGTCTCTTCTTCCATTCAAGGCTTTATAGTAAGCAAGCAAGTTCATTCAGATCCAAGTGAACGAAGTTGTTTCATGTACAAGGAATGAGATAGTGCATCAGAAGCCAGAATTGGAGAAGAAAAGTGATATAGAAGCATTGGTGCTAGATTGGGGATATTTTCTTAGGTTGACAGGATGTGGCAAATGTAAAGGAGATCAATGAAATACAGAATTGAGCTGAAGAGTAGCCACTTTTCTGAGGGGGGAAAAAAAAGACCAATGACCTGAACCTCATTTTGTGTTGGTCAGGAACCATGCTCCAAATCTAATACCTTAGTGGTTTTCTAAGGCTAGGTAGGATAAAGCAAAACTTGATTGACATCATTGTTTCCTTGATTATCTCTGAGAAGCTTTATCTGTTGTAGCAGTAGTTTATCTTTATCCTCTTTAAGGTTTTTGCTGTTATCATTTTAAGTATATCTGGATATTTTCACCTTCCAAAGGTTAGCGGGGCAGTGAGGATTATTTAGTCTAAAATGAAGTTGTTATTCATGAGAGTGCTTTCATGTAGGTCTAACTATGTAACAATATAAATTACTTATTCTTGGCATGCATACAATTGACCCTTGAACAGCATAGGTCTGAACTGTGAGAGTCCACTTTTAAGTGGATTTTTTTTCAATAAATATATATAGTCAGCTCTCCATATTAATGGGCTTAAAATCTGTGGATTCAACCAACCTCGGATCGAAGACAGTACTTCAGTCCACAGTTGGTAATCCGTGGATGTGAAAGGCCAACTATATGCATTGTGCTATGCCTTTTTATGTAGGGGACTTGAGCACTTGCAGATTTTGGTATTCATGGAGCAGGAGGCAGGCCGGTGGTTCTGGAATCAATCACCTGGGGATACTGAGGGATGAAGTTTTTAGGGAGTCAAGATAAGATGTTTGACTCTGCAGAGATCAGCACCCCAACCCCTGTATTGTTCAAGGATCAGATTTTTTTGTGTGTGTATGTACACACACATATCTGCATATATACACACATGCACATATATATCCACACATATACATACTTTTACACACATATTTTGGTAAACACACACTATTTTTATCCATGGTTTATAGAAACACATGTAGCTTTTTCTAAGTTCTTAAATGTGTAAGAGGATGAGTTCTATTTAAAGGGAAAAAACTCTTACCCAAAAAACATTTGACTCAATGATCTTGACATGGAAGGAACTTCCTACACCCCAGTAGGGGAGGGAGATGGCAAACATTTCTTGGCTTCTTTTTCTCTGCTGGTGGGATTTGATATCCTCAGCTCTGGTTCTGACCTGCTAGACTTAGCAGGAGTGTGGATTCCAGGAGCCCTTGCGCGTAAAGGTCCACTCTCTTATACCTTCTCACTGTTCTCAGATGCTTCTAAAGCCCACTCTTCCCTTCCCTGTTCCTTCCCCTTCTATTTTAGGAAGGAGGAAGGGGTTTCTTGTCACTGTGATCTTGACTAGGATTGGGAAGATGTATTTTCATTTTTTTGTTTTCAAATATTTATGTGTTTTTTTCATAGGGAAGTGTTAGAAAAGGCGGGTAGTACTATAATTACTGTATTTAAAAGTTAAGTAATCTTTCCAGACCAGTGTAGGATCTGTAAGACATTTTATAATATTTTAATGGGAAACACCTGACTTACAAATGAACTTTAATGCAACATGGTGGTAAGTTGCCCTTTATTCACAATTTTATAAATGCAGTTTTGCACATTATGCTAAAATGAGAACTGCTAACAATAGTAACTCAATCTTTATCTTTGGTTGGATTAGATTTGCTCTTGATTTGAAGCTTTTAGCATTCCTGGTCAGAAAACTTGCAGGCAACTAGTGAGTGACAGATGTGCAAATATTTAATGTGAAAATTAAAATACAATAATTATTTTTAGGCAATAACTTTCAAACTCTGAGGACCACACGGCAAGGTGGGAAGCCAAGTGATCAAGGCTTTATTACTTTTATTTGTTAAGACTATGCTTAAATTTTTAAAAGGAGTTTCTTTGTTTAATTAAGATTGCAAAGCACTGTTTGAGTAAAAATTATTATTTATATGTTTAGCAAGGTTAACTAAAACAGAAATCCTAAGACTTTATTTAAGTACATAGAAGCAAAGGCCCTTTAAAATATACTTATATGGATGTCTGCAAATGTACTAAAAATGCTTTGGGTTTTGCATTTTTGCCTTAATACCTACTGCTTGATCCTTGTAGCTCTTAGGTTATTAGTGATAAAGATTCCAACAAACTGAATTATCCTATATTAAAAATGTGGTATGATGATAAATGTATAATTTTTAAAGGTATGTAATAGAGTGGTTCAGTTGAAAATTAGCTTTTGTAAAACAAATTTTGACTAACTGAAAAATGTGTTTAAAAACAAGATTTCATTATTGAATATTATCTGAAGGTTTCTTTGGTTTCATAGCATACCATAAGCATTTAACTATGTGTATTTCTTTTATAGATATTTGTTTTAATTTATGAAAACATGACTATCAAGATGAGTTTTAATAAAGCATACTTGTGGAAGTTCATTTGACCTCCTTGGAATAAAGATAGAATTTAAAGTTTTATTTTCTGTTAATTGTTGATGATAGTGATGATATTGAGAATTAATAGTTTTAAGCATTTACTTTGTGCCAGAGACTGCTAGGCCATCAGTTTTCATATGTCATCTGATTTAATCCTCATGACAGCTTTCAGAGATGTAGATATGATTCTCACTCCACTTTATAGATGAAGAAACTCAGGCTTAGAGAGATTAAGTGACTAGCTAGATTTCTCAACAGCTAATGTGTGGCAGAGCTGAGTGTCAGGGCCAGATTGTCTGACTCTGAAGCTGGTGAGTCCCATCACTTTGTTATTAAAGTTGTGTGCATTCAGTTTTGTTATATTTTAATACATTGTTCCTTGGATACTTCATTATGGAAAAAAAAAAATTATATTGTATAAGTAATTATTTCAGTGGGGAAAAGGAGCCTGGAGACTTTCACATTTGGAATAAGTTATTTTTCCTGCAGAAATTCCAGGTTTCTTTTAGTAGCTATGTTTATACAGTTATAAAGTCAACACCTTGCAAATCCAACATTTGATTATATATCTAGCTTTAACTCATGAATAATAATATTTATTTTTCTGTCACACTAGTACCATCATTAATACCATGCTGACTATATATTATTCTTAATATATAGCACATTGCCATTTATAGCAACTGTTGAACCGTATAACCACTACTCCCTGTCAAGATAAGGTAACTGCAGGTAATCATATTACATGAAAGCCAAGAGTTAAAGACAATTTATGGTATGAATACTTGGACCATAGGGGGAGAAACCATCTATACTAATTGAGGCATATTATAATTAGCAAAAGAGATTCACTTGAGAAGAAGCAGCAATTCACAGAGCTAGCATTATTTTGCCTTCTGTGTTCACAGAGATATATTTTTTTGTGAGACATTCTGGGATAAAAAAGGAAAAAAAATTAGCAAAAGAAAGCCACACCTGAAAATATCAGCTTAAATCTGGCATAGAAAATAACTTAATTTTTTCTGTTTTTATTTTTGTGTTCTGGACAATGACTTTATCTGGTGAAGTTTCCAGTAAATAAGTTTATTTCAGATGATATAACTGGGGCATTACATAATAGAGTTTTAAAATGTTGATATATACTTTCAGAATAGGTTTTTAAATTCTCTTATTTGAAAGACATCCTAAAGTTTTAAAAATTGAAGTTCTAAGAAAGGTTCGACATTCTAACAATTTGTTTTTCTTTAGGAGTAGATCCCATAATAGATCACGCTCAAGACAAAAAGATAGACGTAGATCTAAGAGCCCACATAAAAAACGCTCTAAATCAAGGGACAGACGGAAATCAAGGAGTCGTTCACATTCACGGTGAGTTTTTGGAAAATTAAAGATAATTTTTTTCATGGCTTCATTTATTAAAAATCGGTTGTGGTTTATGTTTTAAATGAAAAATTAAACTTTTAATTTTGATTGTCTTAGTAATGATTAATATTGGTTGCCATTGATTTGAATCTGATGACCATTATGGCTCATGAGATTTGCAGACTATTGTACTTAACTTGGCTTGGCAATTGTTTCTTTTAGCAGTTTCATGTACAACTGAATTATATAGAAATTTATAGGTAATGTCTCATAGCTGCTATAAATTGTTTTGTGTTGATAATTATTGAGAGAGATCCTTTTTGGGAGTGGAATTATTTCATTTGTGAATTTATTTTTGCTTTTAAAGGGACAAGCGAAAAGACACTCGAGAAAAGATCAAGGAAAAGGAAAGAGCGAAAGAAAAAGATAGAGAAAAGGAAAGGGAAAAAGAGAGAGACAGAGAAAAGGAACGTGAAAAAGAAAAGGAACGGGGTAAAAACAAAGATAAAGACCGGGATAAAGAACGGGAAAAGGACCGTGATAAAGACAAGGACAAGGACAGAGAAAGAGAGCGGGAAAAAGAACATGAAAAAGAAAGAGACAAAGAGAAGGAAAAGGAACAGGATAAAGAAAAGGAACGAGAAAAGGAGAGATCCAAAGAGATAGATGAGAAAAGAAAGAAGGATAAAAAATCCAGAACACCACCCAGAAGTTACAATGCATCAAGAAGATCTCGTAGTTCCAGCAGGTTTGATATGCTTAAAATTTATACCAAAGGGTTTATTCATGACAAATGATGAAAGCATGAATTTTAACTGAGAGGAAAAGATGATTCTATGCAAGTGGAATCAGTACAACAATATCAGAACGTTACCCTCTCTAATTGCAGAGTACACATTTCTCTCAACAGAGTGCTTGCCACAGTATTGAACCTGTGGAGAACATGAGATGGTATTGGGCAAGATAATTTGAAAAGTTTTAACTATTTAACTAAATAACTACTGCTGTTAATTTTCTTAGAAGGTAGGATGGCAGGGGGCAAGTTTTTTTTTTTTAATATATAAGAATTGACCTGTTAGGCTTCTCTATTTCTTCGGAATGGTGTGGTAAGTTCTCAGATGCAAAATTTCTAAGGTTGCAGTTTATACCTTTTGTCATCTGTATTATTTTGTTGAGTGCATGACATTTAAATTTTTATTTAAATTTGCCAATTTTAAGATTTGGCTTTTGTTTTTGGACTGTTCCCTAAATTTATTAATAGGTACACGGCCACGAGGTGGCAGCAGGTTGCTATAGTAACAGTGCAAAATGGAGACTTTCATTGATTCGAGATTATATAAACCATTACTCCAGATGATACCGTGACTATAAATAAATGGAAGTTCCTACTTGTGTTAAAACCATATGTTAAAAATACTAAAAATATATTTTAGCATGTTTTAAAGATATTTAAAACATAATTTTTCATAGAAAATAATTTCCGAGACAGGATTATATATAGATTTTTAATCTTTGTTTTAATAGCTTATTCTTAATGCAATACAAATAATTGCAAGCACTTATTGAGTGCTTTTACTATACGCCAGATTTCTGTCTCAGCAGCTTTTCATGACTAAACTTATTTAATCCTTACAATGAGCTTGTGGCCTATTATCATGGTTTTAAAATATGAGGAAACTGAAGCTTTCTGCTCTGTACTTTAATATCGGAAGTGTAAGTAGCTCTTTCTCTTTTTTAGAGATTAAGTTTGAGAATTCCTTAACCAGTACTTGCTACCTGCTTTAAAAAATTGCCTCAGAAGTTTAAAGTTGAAAGCAACAATATATGTTAAGTGGGGCTTAAAATAAACAGATCACTGCCATATTTTAGCACATTGAATCAAAAACTGAAGAATTAATTTAATCTCATTTACTGTGGGTTTCAGTTCAGTCTTGTGATTGCACATATACTGCACTGTGATTTGTTGTCACACATTCTTTTGTGTTTATATGATTGTTTAGACATTGCTCTTCATAACACCAAATAATATTTTGATTCCTTTTAAATTCAGTTGAATTTACTTTTTTCGATGTCTCTAAAATGTTTAATTTTTTTCATGGTTTATTTTAAAGTCTCTTGATATTTAAGAAAGTTTACATATTCACATTCATTCCTAAATGTATTCTTAAATAATTTCCAAGGTGTGAAGAATAAATGCTAACATTACTTTCTGAAAGATTCAGCAGTTTGGAATGTTTCATGGTTTCAGAAAAGTTTGGTGAAGAGTTATAATTTCTCAACTTTTAGCATTTTTCTTTTTCCAAGTACTCTGATTTGTTTAGTAAATGGAAAACATTTTAACTGCTCAAAAATAGTCTACTTAATTTTATTTCCAACATTGTCTCCTAATCTACATTCTTAAAGAAAATTTTGATATTTAAAAAAATTTCAATGCTTAAAAGTTACTGTCAATAAAGATGAGTCCAAGAAAGGTAAGGAGAGAATATTTTTTGAGTACTTAACTATGTGCTAGACACTATGTTTGGTACTTCATTGGTATTATTCTAAATCCTTAAAACAACACTGTAAAACTTGAGTTATCTCCATTTTCCAGTCGGAAAAACTGAGATTCAAATTAAAAATAACAGGACCCCAGTAGTGCAGCTGGTAAGGTGTAGAATTTAACTCTAATTCTAACCACTCTAGTTCTTCATACTATAACTGGCCACTACTTTCTCAAATAATTAATATTCTAGATTGCTATCTATTCAGCCTTAGCTCTCATTATAATCAACTGGTAGTTATTAGATGTCTGCCTCTACATAGTGCTTCCTGAATCAAGAGTTACACTGATCGAAATGGAGCCATTTTGTGTAACTTAAGGTGTAAGATACACTGACTTTCTCCTGCTATGAAAAAGTATATCAGGTTCTTATGCTGAGCTGTTATAAAATAGCATTTATTGAATGGAATATTATCTAATTTCCCCAGAAAGTATAATATTGGGGTATCCTGGAAAAAAAATTAGATAATGGAGGAGAGAACCTTGGGTAGAGTTGGAATCAACTTATTTGTGTTCTCAAAATTCTTGAGCCTTTTTGGTCTTAATACCTAGCATACATATACCACATTTGAGCATTATTTAGCTTTTTACTTTATAAAAAACATGGACAAAATATTTCATCAACCTAGTATCAACTTACTGAGGTAGTAAGAACTTGAATTCTAAAAGACTGAATTCTTCCAGCTATGTGGTCACTAATTATCAAAGCTCCTCATGAGACAGATTATTGTATATATTAATCATTTAATACATATATTCTCATACCTCACTGCCTGAATTATGGTCATCTTGAAATTCATTGATCCTAAATTGACCACCCTTATAAATGAAGTAATTTAGAGTATGCATATTTGCTAATATGTTAAGAAAAATAGTTTTTAATAATAAACACTTAATCTAGTAATTATTTTTTACTTCATATTTAAATCTCAGGTTTTAAATATTTTACTTATATCTAAGCAGTTTGTGCACTCAATTTTAATTGAGTTGAACAACAGTAATGAAATGGTCAGAGATCGAAGGGCAAAACAGTTTCTTTATAAGATGACAATGTGTAAATACTTTTTTAGAGATCTTCTAAATACTTTAGAAAGTTCACATTTTGCAAGCCAACTAACTTATCTTTCAGTTCTTGAAAAGAGTGTTACGTTATTACAAAGTAATCCACAGTGGGGCAACAAGGAGCTAGACACATGACAAAGGATCTGATGAGCAAAAAAGTGTGTTTTAGATGCTAAAGAAGAGAATATTTAATTTGAGAATCTGAAACATCCATTGATATTTTTTTCTACTCAAGAAATTAATGTTTGGTTCAGGTTAAATGGAGATTTTTTGTTGTTTCTAATATGAAATTTTAAGAGATCTTTTCATCAGTCTGTAAGTATCTATGGTTCATAATTTGACCTGCACTAAAACTAGGAAGTAGAGTGTGCTCTAAAGGACATGAGTTTAAACTGGCCTCTAAAACATACTATTTACTTTGAGAGCATTAAGAATCCTCCTGCTTTTATGTATTTGAATTGCCCTTTAATTAGATCACTTTTTAAAAATAACTTATCTTGACTTTCAGGGAAAGGCGTAGGAGGAGGAGCAGGAGTTCTTCCAGATCTCCAAGAACATCAAAAACCATAAAAAGGAAATCTTCTAGGTCTCCATCCCCTAGGAGGTAGGTTGAAAGCATGTGCTAAAACTAAGGAGAAAGCAGGGGAAAACATTCATTCTTCAGTCTACTTTTTAAACTATATTTTGAATGAGTACTATGTAATACATTTGCATGGTTCAGAAATCAAAACAGTATTAAAAAATTATACACTGAGAGGTCTTAATTTCCACCCATATTCCCATCTGCTCTGTCCCCATAAGTAATGACCTTATTAGTTTTTTTGAATATCCTTCCACTTTTGTATAGACGTACAAGATAAAGATATTTAGTTTTTTTTTTTTTTTAACTTTCTTATATAAAAGGTAGTACAAAATACACACTGGTGTTCACTTGCTTTTGTCACTTAACAGATATTTCCATATTTGTCAGAGAGTGCTGCTTCGCTCCTTTTAACAACTGCATGGACTTCATTATGTGACAGCACCTTAGTTTATTTAACTAGCCTGCAGTAGAATGGGTTTTCTTAATTTTTCTATTATAAATTATATAGTGTTGTAATGAATAGCTTTGGAGTTAGATCATTTTGTAGTATGTGAGTATGTGGGAAAATTTTCCAGAAATGGTAATGTTGGTTCAGAGGATAAGTGTGTTTGTAATTTTGAGATATATTTCCATATTGCCCCCATAAAGATTGGCAGCACCTCGTACTTCA